AACAATTCAAAAAACAAAAAATAGAATAGCTATCCACTGAGATGAAAAGACTTGCAGAAATTACATATATATTAGGCAAAGGTTGAGGCCAAGAAAATACTGCCGAAGCCTACAAATATTCCAGCTCCTGCAAGAACCAGGTTGAATTAATTCTCTGTGTGCCAGTGCAACTATTAGTCATTTACTGAATGCTTCTTGATATAATGACATTAAAATTATTTCAATAGAAATTTTTAATTTCAAAAATTAAAACCAAGTATGTTAGGAGAACATCTCTTTATAAATAATTGGTTTACTGTAAACAGTTCTTATTCACTAATATAGGTCCTCCAAAATAGTTACCTGAGCAAGGGACCATATAGGTTGTGTGGTTTCCATTCAGAAAGAATACATATTGACTTGTATTACATCTAAAATCATGTCATTAATTATTAATTTCTTTGATTAAAATTTTGTGGCATTTAGGAGACTCTTACTAAAATACAAATATCCCAGAGAGAGATAACACTCCAAGCTCATTATCAATGATTTACATCTTTGTGGGGATTACTTCAGGATTCTCTGATGAAATATCAAATCCCTTTCCACCTGTGGTGCTAAATCAGTAGATTAAGCCACACAAGGAAGCACAGCACATAACCACTTCTGTTTTGTGATGCAGGATAGTTAAGAGAGACTGCCCGCTACCCCAAACCCACCACCCCATCCCAAATTTCTGCTTTCAAATTTAAGCCAAAAAGGTCTTTGTACACCATTAAATAGAAATATCCCTGAAAGAGGTCAGACATTGAGCCAAAAAGTTATTTTCACCTCTCAATAAGTGGATTAATCAGATTCTTCAAGGCCCTGGCCTAAGCCCTTCACTTTTAAATTCTCAGTAATGTCTTCACCTATTTCATTAAGGCCTAAGACTTCAATCTCGATAGTTATTGAAATAATCCTGAATTTTTATAATTTTCTTTTAAATTTATATTCAGTGAGCCCAGACTTCAGCTGTCTATTGGACATCTCCATCTGTCTGTTGTATGAACATCTCACCCTCAGCACAACCAGAACCGACAGAGTATGTTCCCTTCAGACTTGCCTCTTCTCATTTGCTGTGGGTTCACTCAGCCACACAGGAACTCAGGCGGGAACCCGAGTGGCCACCACCTGGACCCAGGCCAGCATCTCCCTCCGCCTAGCCTGCCGACAGACCTTCCCAGCACCGCTCTCCATTGCTCATTACTCTTCCCAAAGCTCGGCTTTGCTCGTGCCATTCTCCAGCTCAGAAACCTCTAATGCTCCCCATTGCTTAAATGAAAATCAAGCTCACCTTGTTTTTAAATGTGGATCATCATATGGCCTCCCCTCCCTTCTTTCACATACCTTAATTTAGCAAAGCTGGAACACTCACTGTTCTCTAAAGATGCCCTTTGCTTCCCAACCTATGTGCCTCAAATGGTTTCCTCTACCTCAAATACTCTTCACCCCATTTTCACCCGTTGAAAGCCTACCTATCCTTCAACTCAGATTCCACTTTCTTAGGTCAACCTTTCTGGCTCCCTTCAGTTTAATGTGATCTGTCCCACCCCCGAACTCCCAGGGCATCTACTATGCCCCGAATTCCTAAGGGGCACCATTAGTTCTATGCTTGTCTTTTCATGCTATTGACAACTCCATAAATCTTGGAAGAGGGTCTTACTCATCTCTCCTTCCCCTGCAGTGCCTAGCTCCATGCTTGCACATAAAATCCACACAATTCTTAAAGTGTTATTGAGTGAGTTTTGAAGGATGAGGCGATAGACAGTGGGGGAGTTCCTAGCTTCTGAAAGGGTGGCTTTGCCCAGAAGTGACATTCCTGGGTCCTGAAAAGCAGCTTTACACACGCTGTAATTTTAAGGCTATAGCTTCGGACAAGCAAATTGGCAATCCATGGAAACCTGCCTTGGGGAAAAGGGGAGTTGGTCCAGAGCACCAGCATCCACCTGGATGGAATTGTGGACTCTCCGGCCAGAAGGCAGCATGAAACCATCGGGTACCTGAGGACCTTGGGAATGTCTTCAGGTCCTAGAATACCCCAGGTCAGGTCAAGAGCCCTGGGCCAGAGAATTCTAGAAGAAACAAATGAGTTGATGATGAAATGAACTGCCTGTTTTACTACTCTACATATGCTAGACTAGCTAGAGGAGCTCCAGTAGCTTGTTCATGTTTATGTACATATGGGAAACTAACTGTTGTGGTCAATTGCTCGATCAATCAACCCATATTTGTTGAGTGCTTTCAGTGTGCCAGACACTGTGCTAGGTGCTGGAAATGTAGGAGTGGATATAAAGGACAAAAATCTCTGCCCTTATGGACCTTACTTTGTCCATGAAGTGGGAGGAGACAGTAATAAATAGAATAAATATGTAAAATATAGAGTTTATGAGGTGATAAATCCTTTGGATAAAAATAAGATATGTAGAGGAAGTGTTAGAATGTTAGGCACAGTGGTCAGGCCTTGTTAAAAGGGCGAGCGAAGACTTGGAAGAGGTGAAGTATCGGTATGTGCAGCTTTCTGGGAAAAGCATTCCAGGCAAAAGGAACAGCCAGTACAAGTGCCCTGAGGTAAGTACATGCCTGACACATTGAAGCCAGAGTAGCTGGAGACAGAGACAGGTCAGAGAAGTAACGGGAGACTGCCTGCCTGTGTAATCCATTGTAAGGATTTGGCTTTTACACTGAGTGAAATGGGAGCCTTAGAAGAATCTTAGCAAAAATGGACATCATCGGCTGTTGAGACTGAACTGTAATAAGGGCCAAAGACTAAAGCGGGAAGGCCAGCTTGGAGGCTACCGCAAACATCCCAGGCAAGAGATGATGGTGGCTTGAACAGGGCGGTGGCAGTAGGGATAAGTGATCAGAGTCTAGAAAAATGTTAAAAGTAGAGACTGAAGGATTTGCCGATGTGTTTGATATAGGACATAAAGGAGGAAAAAAAGAGTCAGGGATTACTCCAAAATTCTTTTGCATGAGCAACTGAAAAAAATAGTGTGGTTCATTAACTGGAATGGAGAATATTAAGAGTGGCACAGTTGGGGGAGAGCAAAAATCAGGGGGTAGGTTTGGATCTGTAAAGCTTGTGACATCTAAGAAACATCTGAGTGGAATCTGGGGGTTGGGAGAGAGGTCTGGGTTGGAGATCTCAATTTGGGAGTCAGAATAAAGACGGTATTTGAGCCGTGAAACTGCGTGAGATCCACAAGAGAGTGGCTAAACGGAAGAGACAGGTTCAAGGACTGAGCTGGAGGCACTCAAACATTCCAAGGTCATAGAGAAGGCAAGGGACCAGCAAAGGAGACGGAGAAGAAAGAACCAGTAAGGTAGGGGGCAAACCAGGTGAGTATGTTTTCCTGGAAGTAGAATAAAAGATGTTTCAAGGAAAGGGGAGTTATCAACCTGATCATGTGCTGCTTACAGGTCAAGGAAAACGCGAGCCAAGAAAAGACTTCCAACTTAGCAATGTGAAGGTCATTGGTGACAGTGACAGTAACAGTTTCAGTGGAGGATGGGTTGAGAAAGTCTTGAGAACGGGGGAAGAGTTGTTTGAGCAATTAAATATAGACGCCTCTTTTGTTGTAAATAGGTTGTACTTTATTTTAAAAGCCAGTAACTCAGACGTTTTACTAATTTAAATGAGCCTTGTATCCACAGCAATCTGAATTAGTCCAATTCTACTTGAGAGATTCCCCCCTTTCAAATGACAGAAACTTTTTGTGAAATAGGTTTCAGCAGTTTTGAGTCTGACACTCTCTTTGTTAACTGAAGGAAAACAATCACTGCCTTCACTGAATTTGCAGCTCAAGGTATTTTCAGTTTCATAATCTAATTTCTATCTTGGAACTTCACACACACACACACACACACACACACACACACACAAAGTGATGACTTCATAGTTCTTGGGTTGAATATTCCAACTCATTATAAATTACATTAGCTCATTCCAAATATTTCATGATTGATTTATCATTAGGTCTTTTCTTTTAAGTTTTTAAGTAATGTTTTTCACTCCATGGACGTTTGTTTGCCTGCCTTTTCTACTTGTAGACATTGGTTCACGTTGTCCGACAACTGGGCACTGAATCTCAAAACATTAAGCTTGAAATTAAAGGTAAGGCAGGAAAAGCTGTCAGTAAAACATACTAACACAACGTGTCTGCCTAGGACAGGATCAAGTTCATACTTAGAACCACAAGGGGTGCTGTGAAGTACAGTGATTTCATACTTGTGTTGTGGTGTCATTTGGTTGTATCATTAAAGCCAAGCGCCCTCCCCTCCCAAGGGCAATGCCAATTTCCCAGAAGGCTCATTTCTCAGAGCCAAAGCTCCAAAGATGCCAATGCAACCCATGCTGATACTTCGTCTCATGTTATTTCTCAATTTTATGCTTAATTTACTCCTTTTGGTTTTATGTATTTTGACACAGCCAAGTGTATGTGGGGATTTCCCCACAGTCCTTTAAATGCTATAAAACTTTAATATAGGGAGATAAAAACAATAATAAGCCATGCCTCCAAGCCCTCACATCTAGTTCTTCATTTGAGTTAAGCACTAACCACTTTTTGATAGATTTAGATTTTCAAGTCCTTGCACTGCTCTAAATGCCCTTGTGCATTTCCCTGCCCTCCTCCCCCAAGTGAAAATTATATTCTACCCGTAATCTGGGCATGCAACACCCATTGATTGCACAAAATGGCATCTTTACAAGTCTTAAATTATCATTAGAATGCCCTATATCATGCCTGAGCCAATGCAATTTAATATGATTCAGAAAAAAGCCAAGATGAATGCCCTTTCCCAATTTTAGGCATGCAACCCTGAAATGTCTTTTGGAAAAAATTAAATACTGCTCCTGGAAGTCTGTTGAGTTGGTCTGTTTTCAGCATAATTGCCTTCTCTCAGCTTCCTAATACCCTTGAAACCTCTGAGAGACTTTAATGTACAAAGTTCAACAAAAATACCTTCAAAGCAGATTAGTTCTAATTATGGTTAATATTTGTTTGCTGCTTTATTGAATAAACTACATTTGCTTTAAAAAAAAAAAAAGAAAGAAAGAAATTCACTTAACTGTATGTCAGTCACCCAAATTTTAAGTGTACAAATGAAATGGAAAACATTTATTACACAAATTTAATTACAATTCTAAGAAATAAACATGCAAATTAGATAGAGTTCAATTTGCAGATGCTAATCCTCATGCTCGATCTTGCTCCTTTCCTCCCTGATTTTCAAGTCTGTGCCTCTCCTTGATTCCTAGGGAGCCAGGCAGCCAGGGGTTTGGTTTTTCACAGTCGGAGGATCACTGTTTTAAAGAAGTGTTATATTTAGCACATCTGGCATAGTAGCAGTAAACAAACATTATAGTCTTTGTAACACTTTTGTGCAGGTGCTTTCCCCCTGATTTTATTAGGTCTATGCCTTCCAAGCCTCTGCGTTCATTACACCTGAAATGACCCATCTCCACTCCGGAGGGGTCCCTAGACAGAAGTTATGAATTAATGTTTCAAAAAAAACAAACTCCAATTGAGCCCAATATAGGGGAAAATTACTATTTGCAAAATAATGTGATTCCGGGGTGGTTTAAATTACATTCTCTTGACCAAGGACAACCTCCTTTACTACTTTTTTATTTCCTGGAGCTTTTCCCTGGAGGCTCCCCAGCCAGAAAGTGTTGCCAATTGGAGTTGCAGCAAGACCAAGGTTGCTTTTTTATACACATGCAGCTCGGGAGGGGACCGGGCGGGGGCGGCCGGCGAGGGGGGAAGAGCTGCGCGGTCCTGCAAAGACATCTGTTTCTCATCTCCGTTTGCTGTGGCAAAGGAGAAGAAAGTCTTTTGCAAAGGGTGGGAAAGCACAGATTTTTTTTTTTTTTAATCA